TTAAATTTATAATATATTAATTATATGAATTTTGTATAATTTTTCATATATTTTCATATATTTTCACTTAGACTATACAAACAAAATGTAGAATTTGAATTATGATCGAATGGAGGAAATAACAATTTGATGAGTATGACTTTCAAAACCAATTATAGCTAGTATTTCTCTCTAACTCTTTATCCATCTCTCCATCTTTCTTTAGTAAGACGACACTACGAGTGCCAGAGAATCCAAGTGCCATTTTACATCCTTCTATATTTACACGGATTTCCCAAACTTTCTCGTTCGAGTTCGTTCTACCATCGACTAACAGTAGACATTTCTTCCTATTCAAAGATCATCTTTACTACAGACAAAATATAATCTTCATTACTTCAAAAATCGGTCAAAAAAAAGATCCTTTTCGTTTCTTACATTTTTTTAATACAATATATTCGTTCGCGTAGAAAAATTTTAACTTGAAAATGGAAAATACCGTATGTCAAATCATTTGATTATTAATTCTAATTCTAACAGTCAATTTTTTATATTATTTTTACGACAGGAATTCTGAAATTACTCGAATGTAACAAAATGTATAAAATATCTAATATGAAAATATTCTATTTTATTCGATCTATTTGACATTCACATTCATGTATTTTTTAATTTTTTACTTGAAAACATGAAATGTATATTTGTTGAATTTTTACTGGTTTTTACTTAATGGTAATGTAAATAAAAAAAAATAATATTTAAATGAACAACTTACAATTTTGGTTGGACGTATTCGATTTTCATTGGTTGATCTTTTCCGGATTCCGGAGAGTCCTCTTCTTTCTGTCAAAGAGAGAGGGAAAGAGAAAAGAAAAATAAACAAGATATTTACATATGAAATCAGTCTTGTTGTATCTTTTGCTAACAACTATAGGAACTGGTAACTCCTGGGACTACTGCTTGTCCACTGAGTCGATTGCGTTATGAGAAAGTAGAATAAACATAGGGACAGTATTTGTTCGTTAGCTTTACTTTCCTTTCTTTACTCTTACTCTATTTTCCTATTCTTTTTCTCTTTCATTGTTTATCAAACTGAAACGAGCGTACGAGATACTACATCTCCCTTATCCAACTTAATACAAAAAATAACCTCGCGTCGTTGGTTTTTAATAGATTCATTGAACGTTCAATTAGAAATGAAATACACTCGTTCATTCACTAATAAAATTATTAATTAATTGGATAAATTTATCATCAAGAAAGTTATAAATTTTCAGTAATCTAAAATTGAAGATTTGTAATTGAAAAGAAAAAAGTTGATTTATTTTTAATAGCTGAAAATATAATTTTAAATTATTAACCTAAAATCGAGAACAATGACTTATAGTTTTATTTTTAATAATTATTATATATATATATAAGAATTGTACCATCGATTGGTAATTTTATTCAAAAAATAAAATTCACGAAATTTTCATCTCCGCAAAATTTGGCACAATTAATTTCCTGCTACATAATCGGAATCTTTTCTACTTTATCTCTACAGACAGAAAAAAGGGAAAACCTCGTTGAAAATAGATAATATCAAAAAGATAAAAAAGTTTTCCAATTGAAAATCAAACTCATCGTCGTTGACGAGTTTTCTCACTTTTTTTTTCGACGTTCGAAAGAAGAAAAAAAGAGGTATGAGGGAATTTAATCTGCACGCGTAGAGATGATAATTTTTTTCTGAAATATCAAAGAATGCGAGAGAAATAGAATATCGTTTCTGACACTTTTCTATTTTGATCCTCGTAGATATCATATCTCCCGTTATTACAATATCACCGAAAAAGAAAGAAAAAGGAAATGATAGATGTAAAATTAGATATTCGAACATGTCAATCTTACAAAATCAATGAAGCATAGAATAACATTTTCCAATAATCAGATCGACCGTATGAAAATCAGTGAGAAACGATAATGAATTTTCATTCGGCCGGGTTAGTGAAAGAAGAACAATGGCCGTCGGGTATAGAACTGGCTTCGTTCGAAATTTTCCGGATCTCCATGGTATAAATTATCTTCCTATTTCACTCTTTCTCTTTGCATACATATATATCAACACTTTCACACACACACACACACACACACACACACACACACACACACACACACACACACACACACACACACACACACACACACACTCTCACACATGCATATAAGTATATGCGTAAATACATATGCAACATACTCGGAACATATTCTCCATTGAAATATTCCCATTACATTATATTCAATATCTCATACAAATATGATTTCACGATTACGACTGAAATGACCTGAACATTTTACAATCTTTCCAAATTTTTTCCATTCTCCTTTATTTTGATTTCAAACGATTCTAAATGTGTTACAAGGGTTAATAACATCTGAAAATTTCTATTTTTCCTGTCAAACATGTTTTCACAATAAAAATTTTCTATTGTCAAATCATATCATTACAAAATTAAAGATAAAATTATGAAAAAAAAATAAATAAAAAATACGCACGCGTGAGCGTATACATATAAAGGAACATAAAAGAAGATTAAAATACTCCGATCGTTTCCGAATTTTTCGAAATAATTTCCCTTCACCCCATTCCATTTCGAAATTATTACTAAAATCAAATACGTTTCACGATAAAAATTTCACTTGTCAAATAATTCATGGTTCAGAAGTTAAATATAAAATGATTTAAAACAAGGAAAAGAGAAATTTCGCGTATGAATTTAATGGAGGATCAACGTCATCGTATATTACACCTACTTGAAAATACTAACAATTAATTTGCGTAACCGAGTGTCTCTTCCACAACTTGATTTTCTATTATAAGGGAATACCGATCGATGATTGGAACATAATTCATGTCTCTTTCGAAGCACGAAAGCTTCTCTCGGGGTCGTTTATATTCCTCTACTTTACGGAAAGAATAAATCTTCTAAAGGCCGATACCGTAAAAAAAAAGAAAAGAAGGAGACAAATAGATAATACACGTTCTTCGATCAAATTACTTAACAGTAAAAAGAAACAAAACGACAGGGAATAAATAATCTGAAAAAAACGTTGAGAAGAGTAGCACTAAATAAGTGACGTCATTAAAATTCATTCGAACCACACACAAAAAATGAAAATATTAAGTGAAAATAAAACCATACAAAAAGATTATCTCTTCAAAGATAAAAGATAACGAGTGGCAGTATAACTTCAAAAAATAATTGAAGATGAAATTATCAAATGTTGGCTTCTCCCTACATACACGCATACATGAGCGCATATAAACAAACGTATGGTAACTAAAACATATGTAAATTCTTACATTTAACTGCATTATTATCCAAAAGGTATAATATTAAACTCCTTCAAAATCTATGATATCCTTTCGTTCTTCATCAAACGAGTACGAATCATAGAAATGCTCTTTGCTGGTTTTACCTGATGTGAGTGGGAAGGATAAATGATAGAAACGTTTGAAACTGAGATAGAAACTTTATCTACTGAGAGGTAGATAAAGAGGATAAGAGAAAGAGAGAAAGAGAGAGATAGAAAATAGTTATGGTAACGAATTTATACGACTATGGTTCTACTTTCCTTATACTATGGAAGGCAAGTTAAACGTTATGTTACTTTGCTATGATAAAGGCAGATGATATCGTAACGATCAAAGATACATGTAAGTGTTCTCTTTCTCTTAATATTTGTTATATCAAAAATCAGATATTATTACAGAGTGAAAAAGGTCGTGTGACTATTAAAATACAAGGCACACGAGTTACATACGAAATTTAATGTTAAAGAGCTTTTTCTGATATATTATATTGATAATATAATATGATATAATATGATATATTGAATAAACCATTATCCATGATTATATGTCCTGCAAAAAAGCCTTTTATGCACAACGAAAGCAACTCATGTCAGAGTTGTATATTTATGTGATTTTTATGAAATAAGTATGAAAATTGTGGAGATTTTAATGGGATGAAAATCGTATAATCTACTAGAAAGTTCCATTTACTCAATGATTTTTATGTGAATAATAAAACTAAGTATGTCTAATGCATTGTTTCAGAGAAATCTGATATAGTTTAAAAATATATTTTTAGAAATTCTTTTATCCTAATGTTAGATTTAACGTTAAATGTAATATTAAAATAATACATGAATTTTATTAAGAAATATACCATTTTTTATTGTACAATGTTGTTTTAACTGCAACATAAAAATTATTTGTAATCCTAAGATCAAACGTTAACATTAGTCACAATTACAATAAGAATGCGTATACATGTGTCTACTTAAATCATAAATGAATATACCATGAAAGAGACAATTTGTTACATTGTCAAATAAATATCTAAAGTAAATAATATAAGCAATTGGCGGAATAATTGGTACGATTAAGAAGGAAAATTACCATGGTCAGTCTCTTTCTCTCTCTCTTTCGTAGTCTTCGAGCGAATAGTAGAAGAAGAGAATTAGTTCGGCACGAATTCAAAGGTGAAAAGTTTTCATGATGGCGGCGAATAGAACACGCGAAACGTTTGCTTGTGCGCTTCAGCTCGTTTGCTTCCACGACTATAAATAATTCGCGGACATAGCGAAAATAGCGATCAGGGACGTAACTTTCGGTACCCGAGTATCATCGTCGCTAGACGAAAACGGACAAACAGACGGACAGATAGACGAATACAGACAAATATACAGTCAGATATACAGTCAGATATACACAGAGAAAATCTGTAAAGAGAGAGAATGTGTGTATGTGTCACAGAGAGCTCGTTTACACAAAAACTCGGAATAGCAATTAATATTAGTTTATGCAACTATCCAACTGAAACGCAACACTTGAAATAATGGAAAGCATATTTCGAAAGAATTTCATTTCGGAAAGGATTTTGATAATTCGATTCTCATCTGACAATCAGATATCTAATCGGAAGAATAGATGATATTGGAAGAAAATATAACTTGCACTATACACAGATTGCTTGCCTAATACTACGATGAAAACAAGAATCAACGATTTTTCATCGAGAAAATTCTTTATCGCTTCGCCAAGATTAGTTCCGAAATTCATTATCAAACGAAACTGGATTTTACATTACGATTATAAAACAACAAAACGAAATTGTGTTATTTAAATTAAAAATGCAGTATTCACGCCAATTTTGATTTTCGTTTTAATTATAAAACAAAGTTAGAAATACCCAAGCTTCATATTAATTATTTATATAACATATTATTTGTAAATTATATCAAAATTATTTATTATACCCAATTTTATTCTATGACCGTCTGGATACAAATGTGGTGCAACCTATATGAGTAATAAGCAAATACGTCTTATGAAAATTATTGTTAATGGACTTACATTTAAACAAATATTTTGTTACCCAAAATATATCTACCGGTTTATAAATATAAATTGTCTTTGAATAAATATTATATTTTAATCGATATGAGACCAAATGCAACCTCGTAAAAAGTAATATTATTTGAATTTTTTTCCAATTTGTCTCAACAAGTTTATATTCTCTCTCTTTCTCTCTCTCTCTCTCTCTCTCTCTCTCTCTCTCGTTTATTCCTCAAAGCCTGCAATTTCGCATTGAAGCGTTGAATGTCGATCGTCGATCGTCATGGCATTACTTCCAGATCCTAAAGCTGGTCTCACTCATAGGTACAACCCATATATCCACACACATGCGGATCCCTTGTAACGTCATAATACTGAACTTGCTTGCATTGCATTACACAGACGTTAGAAAGCGAGATCCCATAGGATTGGGCGAACGCGCTTCGTTTACGAG